ATACGGAAATTGAATAGTCAGATACATCCCTATACAAAAGTCTTTCCCTTCATCAAATCTCAATCACCATAAGGAAAACGAGTTTGAAAATTTGTGTGTTCATGCTTCATAATGAATGTATGATGAATAGTCTCTACTTTTGCATTGAGCTTCATCATAATTCAGGAAGTTATGGATCGAGAGACCTATCATTAGGTAGTGCTATGTTTCAGCTATCTGTTATACAAATTTCGTGAAGGTTTAATATTCTCTTTAATAACTGTAGTCATTTTACTCTAATCATTAGTATACAAAAAAACCATCTATTCCTCTTTCAAGATTTATAACTCAATAATAGTTCAATATATTATTCTGTAAATTTCAGAATCAAACAATATATTAAAGGAATATGACATACGGATGATCATCTTGTTAATGTCGAAGATTAAGAGACAGTAATATTTGAGCTAACGACTTTATCTTTTAGATAAAGAAAGATCATAGATTGGACTTAGGTTTCACGTAAAAATATTCAGAATTAATTATATAGTCATAAGGGGTAATTCGGATCAAAATGAATTCTTAAAATTCTGATCCGAATTACCCCTCATGACTGTATATTTGATAAGAAACAAGATAAGATTTAGTAGACAGTTTTAAAGTTCTGCAACTTATAGCAAAAATAGATTTCATTCGAGCAAGTGAGATCTGCTGACGCATATGTCTGATGAGAGAACCTCACCAACTGATACACTCCATTTGAGCTCATATGTAGGGCTCAGAGTGTAGAGAGAAGCTCTAAACGGATTCTTCGCATTAAGCCCTTGTTCTCGTACAGAGTATTATGAGAAAAACTAAATCGAGAAATCTCAGTCTGAAATTTAGTCTAGAAATAGATTTCATGGTCTTTATGATATCCTGCAAATTTCAGTCAAAATGGAGGATTTCTTCACAAGATAATGAATGCTAAAAAACTGGGATTTGTTCCAATCTTTTGTGAGAAAAATTCATTTTTTGCACACTTTTTATCTCAGTAATAGAGTATCCATTTTGGCTGAAACTTTCAAGATATTGTAAAAGCAACAAGATCTGTTTTCGAGAAAAATTTCAAATTGAGATTCTTCAATTTGATTTTGTTCGTAATGTCCTGCAATAGACAGAAAATTCAGTAAAACGATCGTAATTCGAGAACAAGTGTTTAATGTGGAAGAATCCTTGTTGGAACTTTTATCTATACTATGAACTCATACACAGTATATCAAGCGATCAAGTTTCCTCGTGAGATTCGATGGCGAAGAAACTTTTGCTCATCTATTTCATAGTGGTATTCATTGGGCTTATTTGTCAATTATTCAATTGATATTGCAGTTCACATTTTTTATCCTTTGATGATTTTTTAATAACAAAAACAAAATATGACATTTAAGTTTTAAACGCGATGTTTCATGAAAAATGAAATTATCTATTGAATGAATCTACTTTGAAAATAATTTTTATCTCGATATTGTAGATGTGGAATGTTCATTCAAGATTTTTGGCACGAACAGTATGGGTTCGCAATGGTGAAGTAGATTTAGCTTATCGAGCTTTAAATCGGTAAAAAATATTAAGTGTAGGAAAACATTAAAAAAGAATTCTTCTTTTAGAATTTTAAATAATGAAGATGTATTTAAAACAGCTCGTTTATGGGAACGATACGAAAAACCATTTCGTAAACGTGGTCGACTTTGTTATGAAAAGTATATTAAGATCTATTTATTCAAATTTATTCTTTTGTTTTCTTTTAGAGCACATGAAATTTATAATAACGATATGGAACGAAAAATAAAATTTCTTATGCGTAAAAATCGTGTTAATCCATGGCCATGGAATTAATATCTAAAAAAAACTTTCACCAAGTTTTTTTTCCCCATTTTTTTTGTGTCAATTCGATTTCTATCTCTTTTGTTTATTTTTCCTTTTGTTAGTCATAATTATTTCTATAAGAATAAAAGTTTCTTCTAGATCAAAAATATATACGAATCGAACAATGGGTTTTTTTCAAGGAATCAAAGGTAAGATATTGATTGTTAAAAAAAAAAATTTATCTAAAGAATTTGATTTTTTTTTCTAGGGCAAGTATTTTTTTTATTGATGAAATCTATACAGTGCTCTCCAAAACTATAGAACCATTTGTTTGATGAGTGTCGACCATTTCAGTAATCTTATGCATAGAAAAAATTCTGTGAAGACATGCATTGAGATGCGCTCTGTACAAATGTGAAATCATATTTACTTGATGAAGATGTCAAACTGTAGGAAACAGGTGATTGTCAAGAGCTATTGACTTTTTTTTCTAATTAAAACTGATTTGTGCTCGAGCAACTATGACTTGAAAATACCATCCAAGTATTCTCTATCAAATAAATATGATTTCACATTCAAACAGAGCACATCTCAATACATGTCTTCTCATAATGTTTTTTTTTGCGTAAGAGAACTGAAACGATTAAATCTCATCAAACAGCTCTATTCAGACAAGTAGTTCTATAATTTTGACCAGCACTGTATATTTATTATTGCTGTCTTATCTAGTGTTGTTCTTCTGGCTTTTCTGGCTTCAATCGGTCTTACATTACTCATCTTAGGTTGTGCATTGTCTCAATAGTATGTATTTTTTTTATTGTTGCATCTTTTTCTAAATGAGATTATGTTTTAAAGTAATTGGTGGCCAACATTTGTAATTATATTTTATGTTCTTTCTCCGATTCCAATAGCCATTGGACGTCGATGTACATCCGATGGTGGTTATAATATGCGTGATTCAAGTCCATGTGCGGATTTAATGTGGTTTATAACAAGTGTTATTGTTGTTTCAGCATTTGGTTTACCAGCGGTTATGTATCGAACATCTGTTGTATGTGAATTTTATTATTTTTGTTGTTTTAATTTAATGTGTTTTTTTTTTGTTTTTCTTCATTTTGAATTTAGATTCCAGTTGGTTCAATGGCTTTTATAATGTCGGCTAATATTGTTATATTTACAACGATTACAATTTATTTCGTGACATTTGGATCAGATGATAGTTTACCTAATTTTTAAACGAACAAAAACAAATTTAATGGTTTGAAAAAAAAAACCAGGACATGTAAACGATTTTGTATAAGTGTGTCATTCGCTTTTCTCATTGTATTGTCAGCTTTATTGTATTTTATTAAGTTGAAAAATAACGCTTTTTTTCTCAGACTAAAAAAATCTCTATTAACTATGTTTTTATTGGTGTTCGTCTGTATCTTTATGTAATAAATGTACGAAAACATATGATATTCATAGTTCTCAATTTGGACAGACAATTTCATGAATAATCTACTAAAAGATAAAAAAATGTCATATTTATGTGTTATTTGAAAACTTATAAGAAACAAAGGTTATTGATTTGCATATATTTTCTATTATCAAATAAATCTGTTCTTATTCAAATATATTTAAATCAAAAGTACATATCTTCGAAAAAAAAAATTTAATCTCTATATTAACCTATGATAGAAATTATTGTTACTAATGCATATAAGAATCAATGTTTTGAATATTTCACATTAATCGTCATCGTCAGATGTACTATGAACAGGAATGGACATTCATCATCTTAATTCATTAAAAAACGATTAGCTATCCTTTTCTTTTTTCTCATCGTCAATACTTAAATAAAGCTAGATTCTTTCTAATATGTTAACAATTGATTGAATAAAATTATGCAAACGTTCAATTCCTTATGATTTTTTAATTAGCATTTAGTCAATACATATTTCTCTTTTAAGTTTTGTATAAATAATTTGAATATTTAGTTTGTTATACACTACTACATTCAATTAACATCAGCTTTTTTTTCGAGCTGATTTATCTCATAAAATATAAAAAATCGAATTGAACTACTTTTTTTGGATTTAACTTATTCTGAAAAATAAAGTATGTAAAAGATTCAATCAATAAAATCTATAATGACAAGTTTTATTTGTTAGTTGTTATTTAATTACAAGCATTTATCAACGAACACACAATAGCATGGTCTCGACTAATTCAATGTTAGTCTCGATTAATGTTTTTTTTTCACTCTTATGAATGTTAAGTGAACAAGTATAAAGCAATTTACCTTTCATCTTGTTCTTTTCTCTATGTTGTAGTCATATTGACGAATCGAAGTTCTTTTCTTTTTCGTCTATTGTTTATTCTGTATTCCTTATGACTATACATATGTAAGACAAGAGAGAATAAGTGAAATCTGTTATCGTATTTATGACCATTTAAAATTGTTTCGAGTATCAAGATATAAGCATTTGTCGACTAGTTCATTGACAATGCAGAATAGTTTGGTTGATGGTCATATTCGACATGAATTTCAATCTGTTTTAAATATTCTTATTCATTTTTCATTTTCACTTACACAATTAGTAAGTGTACTTGCTATATTAGGTTTACAAATAGCATTAACCATTACTCAAACATGCGCATATCATTTTGGTATTGGTTTCTGGACATTTCCTTTCTTAATTATTTCTCCATTAAGTATTTGGTTAGTTATTTGGCGACGTAGTTCAATGACTTGTTTTATTGCTATAGTTATTCATTTTTGTTCAACTCTTTTTGCAACAGCTATAATTATTCTTAGTTTTCTTGTGTTAATTGGTCAAATTGGATTTACATGTTCCATATCTTCGTTAAATACATCTTATGTAATACTAAATAGTTCATTAATTGGTATGAGTAGTTTCTTCAAATTATTTAATTATGGTGAACTTATTTTACTTTATATGCTTATTCGAAGTCATGATAAAATATCAACAATATATATTGATGAATTTGTTCAAAGAGACTATTCATTTATACCAGATTCTATCTATGTCAATGCATGGCGTTCATGGTCGGAAGTTAACAATGAAATTCGTAGTAATTCAGATGTTTTTTTTGTTTGAAAAAAAATGGATAAATAAACTGTTATTCAATAATGTAAATATAGATTTTTGAAAAAATAAAAGCTTTTTATCTTATGAACCAATGATAGTTGGCATTTTTTTTTGAAATGAATCTTTGATAGTGAATAAAAGATACGAAGTAGAACAAATTGAACACTTATAATTTTTTTGTGTTGCTTGTAATGATGAATTATTTGCTAAACGATGTAGTAAATGTGGAAAACCTATACCACATGATACAAGACATACTATATTTGATCATAAACCATATCATGAACAATGTTTTTTATGTGCTAAATGTCATCGACCAATTGGTTCAAAGAAATTTTTTAAAGATCATCGTGGATTTATTTGTTCAAATTGTGGAAATTCTTAACATGAGTGGATGATTAAACAAGAGAAGGAAAAATAAGCATTATATCAGTTATTTTTATTTATATAAAAAATAAATTGTTTCTTCTTTAGTTTTATGAAATAAATTTTGCAAAGATTGATCAGAACAGAGACATCATATTCTGATAAATCTCAACAAGGTCGATTTTATGTAACGTTCCATTAGGTTTTTTTTTCTTTCTCTTTTATAAGTGGGGAACAAATGCTGTTAGAGATTATCAAAAGAACTCTTCAAATTCGTTTAAATAATACTCAGTTTATTAACAACGAAAGTACTCAATTTTCATAGGCACGACGAAATGAATTTCTTTAAGTTTTGTACGCATTACAATTTTTTTGTGTGCTTATTTATCATGTCATAACAGTGACAACAGAGAACTATTTTTCCACTATACAAATGATAAGCCATAAAAATTCCGATGATGGTCGTCTTAGATTGTCAACGATACTTCGGAGTGTATTTATTGTTTCTTAGTCTAGACAAATCGTAATTAATTTAAATGAAGAAACTACTGACAGGAACAGATAGCCTATAGAATTCACTCTATTAGAAATATGGATCCGTAAAATGACTTTTTGAGTGAATTTGACATTAAACAATCTGAATAACATCGTATTTTTTTGTTAAAACTTAATCAATAAAGAATGATTGAAGCATTTTTATTCTCTATGTTCATTCTATCTCAGATATACTTTGAGTAACAACTGAAATTTGAGAAATGGTTCCCTCGTTAGTTTTCAAAAGTGCCTTTCATTTCTCCCTGTTTTATATAGATATCTCAAAATAGTTCTTGTCTTTTCATCTTAAATTCATCGAATATATGTTATGTTCGTCATTATTTGGTATTTGTATGTCAATAAAAGTATATACAAAACAAATAAATTATTCTTGTCATTACATAATTGTTGTAACAAAGGAGTAAATTTTATTTAGCCTATTGTCAAAAATAAGTACAAAAACAAAGAAGAAAAAGTGGAAAATAAAAGAAGAAAAAAGTGGAAAAAAAGTTCTTTTTTTCTTTTTTTTTTATAGATCAAAATATATAATAATCACTTCCTTAAATAGTTAAAACGTTTGTATTTTCATTGTTTTTATTGGATCATTCATTAAATAGACACAAGATATTTACAATAATCTAATTTAATACTTCTTCTATTTCGAAGTAAGATGTGTCGTTTGTTGATTTGTTGTTGTTATTATTACTTCTTCATTGAACATTGTTCCTAATAGGGATGCACCAATTCCAATTCTTAGAATTGGTTGGAATTGGAATTGGTAAGAATTAGTTGGAATTGGAATTGGTCGGAATTGGAATTGGTCGGAATTGGAATTGGAATTGTAGGAATTGGAATTAGTTCGAGTTCCCTTAAATACGTATGGAATCCCAGGAATGGATATGGACCTGCTCTGAAACTCACTGGACTTCGCTTGAGACAACTATAATTCCCATGGCGTCCAAACAATTGTTATACAATTCGCCTGGAATTAGTTCGATCTCAAACCGTTTTCCGTACAATTCGTATGCAATCCTAGAAATTCGTGTGGAATTGGTTTCAAACTGGCTAGGCTTGCCTTCAGCCGGCTACAACTCTTATCGAATCCTAAAAATTTCTATGATATTGGTCTCAAACAGGCTAGGCTTGGCCTTAGCTGGCTACAATTCTTCTCGAATCATAGATATTCCTATGGAATTGGTCTCAAACTGGATAGGCTTGGCCTCAGCTGGCTATAATTCTTCTCAAATCGTACAAATTCCTATGGGATTGGTCTCAAACAGGCTAGGCTTGGTCTTGGCTGGCTACAATTCTTCTCGGATGATAGAAATTCCTATGAAATTGGTATTAAACAGGCTAGGCTTGGCCTTAGCTGGCTACAATTCTTCTCGAGTCATAGAAATTCTTATGAAATTGGTATTAAACAGGCTAGGCTTGGCCTTAGCTGGCTACAATGCTTCTCGGATCATAGAAATTCCTATGGAAATGGTATCGAACAGGCTAGACTTCGCGTTAGATGGCTACAATTCTTCTCGAATGATAGAAATTCCTATGGAATTGGTATCAAACAGGCTAGGCTTGGCGTTAGATGGCTACACTTCTTATGGAATCTTAGAAATTCCTATGGAATTGGTCTCAAAGAGGCTAGGCTTGGCCTTAACTGGCTACAATTCTTCTCGAATGATAGAAATTCCTATGGAATTGGTATCAAACAGGGTAGGTTTGGGGTTAGATGGCTACACTTCTTATGGAATCCTAGAAATTCCTATGGAATTGGTATCAAGCAGGCTAGGCTTGGCCTTAGCTGGCTACAATTCTTCTCGAATGATAGAAATTCCTATGAAATTGGTATCAAACAGGCTAGGCTTCGTGTTAGATGGCTACAATTCTTCTCGAATGATAGAAATTCCTATGGAATTGGTATCAAACAGGCTAGGCGGGTGTGGGTGTGGGTGGTTGTGGGTGTGAATGTGGGTGTGGATGTTCTCTTCAAAAGAATCCACACCCACACCTACACCCACCCCACACGCCCACCCACCCACAAACTTTTTCTTGTTTAATTTTTGGTTTTTCTTCAATAGATTTATTAAAAAAAGATATTTTTTCTTGTCGTCGATAATTTTTTGACATCCATATATGATTTTTAATATCATTAACTTTTGCACGTTTCAATGGATCATCTATTAAAATTTGACGAAGAAGATTTATTATTACAGAATCAATCTTTTCCCATAGATTATGATCATGATCATAATCATTGTGCAACCAATGTTGATATTCATCATTATCATCTGATGGTTGTTCCAATGGTATTGCTAAAACAAAAGAAAATAAAAAACAAAAACTGTTCAAATTAATTTACCGCCTGTTAGCATCGTTATTAACGTAATTCCGCAAGACCAAATATCGACGGGTTCTCCTCGGTATGGGCTTTTCTTTAAGAGAGCGCCCATGTAAGGACCGAGCAATCGAGGCACTGCATAAAATTTTGATTTTTGATTTGAGGTTCTCATCTTGTTCAGCATCATCGAAAACCACCAAATCTAAATTTTTAGCTCATTTGGATGTACTATAGAAAAGTTAGGTGGAATTTACTGTTAAGCGCTCACTATCTACTATTCAAAAAATAGGTATAAATCATGGAATAAATGTCTACTAGAATTTTTTTTCTACAAGTTATAGATTTTTTTCATGCAATATTCCAAAAGATAGAGAATCAAAAGCTGAACAAAATGAGCTATTTAAAATATTATATATCATCCTTTTAATGTGACAATTTAGATCAACATGGTTGAAAACTGACACAATTTTTGAGTTTATGGTATGCGATTTTTAACAGTATGTCTGCTGCCATTTTTCAAAAACAAATCGGACCACTCTGAATTTTTGATATGTTATACAGCTTTTGATTCTCTGTAAAATGGTAAAAAGATATTAGAAAAAAAGTGGTACCTTCGAGTCGATATGTGGTTCACAATTGTCGGCTATTTTAGAGATCATTTATAACTCTATCGTAAAATTCATATAAAATCGAACGGTTTGGCTTAGATATTTGGTCTTCAATTAGGCACCATCATATATAAGTAGAAAGTACGCGTCAAGATCAACATTTAAATATTCAATCTAGAAGATTAAATACGGTATTACTTAGCTCACATTGAGTTACAGAGTGATAGAAGACCATCTATGAGTCCGTTCAAGAATCAAGACATCAGTCAAAATTTTATTTTTTTCGTTTGATATCTTCATCGAAATCTATATTATTCCAGGCTTTCAAAGCTCAATTTATATTGTTTGAAATTATTATATTGAAGAGCTGAGCAATAGCGACTTTTATTGACACGACAGTCGCTATCCAAATAAATGTATCAATTTGTTTTCAAAAATTATTCTTCATAATATGACAGAAAATGAAATAACTTTTTTTAAAACATACTAGATATGGTAAAGAGGTAAAACGAAATAAAATGATCTATTCAAATATTATACGTTATAGCATTGATTTAGTTTTATCAGTTTAATATCATTTGAACTTTTGCATCTTAATAGGTGAAAGTGAAGAACATTTCATAATCTCTCAACTATTGTACAATTAGATGTGAACATTCGACAAAATATGATTTTCACATATATTGAATAACCTTTTCTTATCTATAAAATAGAAAAAGTAAAAAATAGTTTTATCTTGTACGTGATAAGTCATTGCAACAGTCTTGCCTATCGATATTTAATAAGACAACAACAAGAAAAACTTTTTTGTGAAATGTAGTAATTTTCTTAGTTTCTATCTTTACAAATGTTTTGCAATGTTCATACGCTTATTATATAAATCCATGTAATTAATTAAATCAAACTGATCATCGAATGTTTTATTTCATATTATAGAAATGTGTATATGGATTATCAAGGCATTCAATATGCACTGAATGTGTGTAGAGGTACAACGAGAATGAAAACAAAGGGAAAAAAGTATGAAGAGGAATGGAAAGGAATATTTTGACTTCATAATGAAGTAAATTTCAAAGGTAGAAGAGGAAGCAAATAGTCGGATCGTGTTATATTCTCTCTTTGACTTCTTCTGACTAGTCCCACTTGTTGATGTCATATTTGTAAGCTTGTATATATTGTAGAAATATACAGAAGAGGAAGAAAGAAAGAATTGTGCCTACTGAAATTTTGCGTTCTATTCTTTTTCTTATCGAATCTATTCGTTAATTATATAGTCATTTATTGTTTCGACCTCGTGTTGTTAACAACGTAAATAACTAACTATCTATCTCATTCATCCTTCTCCAAAAAAATTCTCGAGTTTTTTTTATTGGAAACATCAGGTACGTGATTGATTGTTTATTAACAATGGCTAGTAAGAAGTGCTTTTTTGCTGAATGTTGTGACCAAGTTGTTTGTAATTCTGAAACAACATGGATGCCTTTGTCAGAAGTGAAAAATAAGGATTTAGGTCAAACCTGTTTTCCTGAAGCACAAACTTTATTAGAGGTTATGCTTTTAAGAGCGGACTTGTTCTTTCAACATACGTTTGACCTTGACAATGCGTTTATCTGTGATGCACATTACACTATGCTACTCCAACCTTTTTATGTAAAAACAAAAAGCATATGTCATACATGTGTTGATGTAAGAGGAAGTCAATTAAAACATAAAGGACGTTTACGAAATATTACTGTGTCCAAAGCTATTACGTTATGCGAAATTTTCAAAGTAAAACATTCGTATGGGAAAGTAATTTGTGCCCAATGTCGGATCGAACTTGGAAAGTATGATGATATTACCAGAAAGGAATTGCACAACGATGCATTCATCTGTCTTTTTTATTCTGAATGTCCGTACTGTATGGAAAGAAATGATCCAGATTATTATCCACCTCTTGAAACAGTAGCTCATGATGAAAAAGTAAAGGAGCAGAGAACAGCTTTGAATAAATTTCTTGCTGCTTCTGGTAGTACAAAAAAGGTTCTCTGTACTGAGTCATATAAGGATTTATCACACCGTGTCAAATTGAGATATATTTATGTAGCAAAAACCTTATTTACATCAGTCGCATCCTTTATGACTAAAATTGATGCAGAAATATTTACTCGTGATGTGTTTAACGAGTTAAGTACTGAATATTCAAATATAAAACTAGACGGTAATTTCTGTCAGGTGATGAGCGGTGTCTCAGAAGCATATAGTAATGCAGAATCATGGCAATCTCGACGAGAGATTCTTTCGATTGTTGCGCCAAAATTACCGCTAAAAATACTTCAGTTATTCGTACCAGGCTTGACGGACCACAGATTTTTGGCAGCTCGTTTTCATTCTGCTGGATGTGGCATAAGTTCGAGGGCCTGTGAGAAAGGGGATCGTGTACGGCGATTCACTGACTCTCAAATAGCCCATTTTGTAGACTTTATTATTTCGCCTCATGTGTGCATAGATTTACCATTTGGAGAAAAAACATTGAAGCTTTCATCTGGAATAGAATTAAATGTTCCAGATACGATTCGAAACATGGGTCCGACTCGAATTATTGAACAGTATTTCTCGTATTGTGAAGAACTGTGTCAGGGTTTTGAACCACTTGCCAAAAATAGTTTATTTACAATACTTGACGTATGTAAATCTTCGACAAGAAAATCTTTACAAGGTATTGATTACTTTGCAGCTGATGCTGGGGAAGGATTCGAAGGTATAAAAAAAATGATTGAGAATAATACCCGCCTTTCTAGTGAAAGTATTCGGCTAATTGAAAATCTAAAAAGAGCACGCTTATATCTGAAGTCCGATTATAAAGTACATGTAGCAAGATCCAGCAGCGTTGCTGATCACTGTTGTGTTTATGCATTGAGTGACCCGAAAAAAGAAGATTTCGCTCGGGTGTGGGTGTAGGGTGTGGGTGTGTGGGGTGGGTGTGGTTGTGGGTGTGGGTGTGTGGGTGTGGGTGTGGTTGAAGAGAAAATCAGTGTCCACACCCACACCCAGATCTCGATACATAGAAGTTTATTAAAGTAATTGAACAAATTGAGAAATACTCGAAACAAAATCGAGAGAGTGAGAGAAACTGTGCATTTTGAAGTGTTCTGAATCTGAATCTACTTTGGAAGTTCTCAAAATTTCCTGACTTCGTTTTTACAAATCTTCAAGCTCTACTGACCTCTTGTATTTCTGTCACTTTTTGGATATCATACGAATTTTGCAGACAATTCTTCGATTTCTTTGATCAATGGGTCTTCAGCAAAATCTATTCCATCTTGAGTCTGCAATTTACCTCTGAGCAAGGTAAAATTTTAGTCAAACATAAAGCTAATGATGGTCGACTAATGATATAAGTTCACTTTCACATGGAATCATCAATTGTGATGATGCTCTTTTGTGGTAAATATAAGATTCTACACGAAAATATTACGGATTTAGGACACTTCCTGGTTTGGACAATTGCTTCAGAATCGTCCTGAAGATAGATACATCAACCACTTATATGGAAATATTGTGTAACCGTTTGACAGAAAAAAATATGCAAACGATATTCAGTAATTATAAATTGAAGAGGAAAAAAGCTTAAAAGCAGCAACTATCTGATAAACTTTGACTGATGTCGTTAGATTTGAAGCATAGTTTGTGATCAAGTATTTTGGTTATTGTTTATAAATGATTTATGCTTTTCCTCTAGCAGTCATGTGGTCAATTAATATCAATAGTTAGCTACATTATATGGATTCGTTTCTTATTATCTTATCCACTGGTATTCCTAGCTTTGATTATTAGTCTAAAAAACTGTCTAATATCTTACATCATGTTCTCAGTTTCGTGAGCAAGTGACCGACATAGTTCTTTCGATAATAGTATGTATCTTAAATGACGCATCTTGAATAGAAGCTTGTTCTCATATGTATAAATTCTCATTTCACCCAAATATTAAGATCGAATTACTTTGTTAGTATACTGTTAAACATTGAATGATAATTCTAAATACCACTGCTTAATGGAATCTAAATTAGTTTTTATATTCTTTGAATAGTTTTGTCCAAAGTTTTGCAGAAAACGTTTCACGAGTAACTCTTCACTTCCAAGTTGTTACTACTATTAATGAATTGCATTATGTATGAAAAAGATCTCCTTATGTAAAAAAAACCAAAAAAAGAACATGAAGTATCTATTAGCCCTGATGATTGTCTAGCTGGAAACAATGCTATGATAGTGGACTACAGAACAAATTGAGTTCAATGAATATAAAGCGTCACATGTACTATTACACTCTAAAAAAAAAAGGTTTTTTACCGAACCTAAAAAGGATCTTATCCTCGGTACACGGTAAGATCCTTTTTTGGTTTCGTAAAAAACGAGGTTTCGTAACAAACCATCTTTGGAAAGCTGG